GGAGCGGCCGCCAGGCCGGCGGCGCCCAGGTGGGTGCGACCTCGAAGGGGCTCAGGGCCAAGGGCTGCGCGCAGCGCGGCGAGGGGAAGCGGGGAGGCCTCGCAATCAGCTCTGTTCGCTGCGTGGCCGCCTCGTTTTTCGTGTGTGCAGGTTTTAAACTCCCGAACCGTTTATCGATATCCTGCAGCTTCCTGTAGGGCTTATTTATATACAGTGTGCTTTCCAATGGTCTTGCATTCAAAATTGAACCGATGGAAGCATCACTTTCAATTTCTCCTGGTATTTTATTTTCTAGGGAGCGTATTGCAGAACAGCTGTGAAAGCAGGAGCGTTCAAAAACCCTGTACGTGCTCGCAGTAGCACTGCAAAACGCGAGCACTTGTCTCTGGTGCCTTAAAATGATGTCAGCTCCTCCCACTCAGGAGAAAAGGAAACTGATCCTTTTTGCTTTTGCTTCAGGGACTTGTTCGTGGTCTCAGAATATAAATAGGCAGATAAAGCTTGATACACTTGAAGGAGTTTATTATTAAACATAAAATCGCATCATATATTTTTAAAATACTCCTTTTTTATTTCTTTTTCTTTTCTGTGCACTATGGTACTCCAAACCTTCATGATTTTCTTCTGTATTTCCTGCTCGTTCCGTATTTTGCAAGCAAAAGCAAGGTTTAAATGTAGCACATGGACATGCCTGTAAATGTCTCAGCACTTTCCTGGAGTTTACTCCAGACGTTGGTTGTGCACATATATATTTATGAAAAGTCACCAGTATTTTATGTTGAATCCCTGTAATGCTGAAGGGATGGACGGGGACTTGCTCAGAAATGGTTTCTGCTCTTTGCTTGAAGGCACATGGTCATGTGTTTTTGTTCATTGCTGGAATTTTGCTTTAGTTTACAAGTTTTAAACTAGAACCTCCAGGTTATTCTTTTCTTTTTAAGTAACACTTCCTGGATTGAGACAACAGGAAATGCAGTGACCATTTTTTCACTCCAGTGAATGGAGTTTTCAGACTTTGCTTTACAGCGGACGCTGTCCCTGAGGTGTGTGGCCCTGCAATATTGCACTGCATCTTTAAAGAACAGCTTTTCCTTTGGTGCCAAATGAGTAGTCACCTCTGTCTGACAGTGCCTGAAAAATTTTTGAGGGGGGTGAGAATAAATAGGAAAAGAAACTGCAAATCTGGTCTGTTTGCGCCTCTACAGCTGTCCAAAGGCTTGAATCGCTTTCCAAGACTAGTTCCTGTTTCTGTTTTTTTTACCACACTAATTCTAATTCTTCTCCCTTCAGTCTAGATGGTATTCTTTATTCCTGAAGCTGTTAAAGTTTTTATGCAGTGTTCAGGCTTTTTATTATTACTTACACTTAATTAATTTCAAAAATTACCTGAAATTCTCCTTTTGTATTTACATGACACAAATGCTGCATATTTGCAATCAGGGATTCTTGCACTTGAGTCTTCTTTTTTTTTGTCTTTTTTTTTCTTTTATTTGAATGCCTTTAGCCTCTAAGAAAGAGGATTGAAAATCTTGGCATTTAAGCTGATTTTAAAAGGTTACCTTTCCGCAAACTGTAAAGCATGAGGTTTGTAGCCTGTTGCTTAGAGCTGCAGGACAACAAGTCCTGTTGCCTCCTACATTCCCATAACTTTCGGTGAACTAAAGATTACACTTACTCAGCTGCTCTTCCAGGATGCTGTTTTCCTTCTTGTTTCTGTGTCTGGCAGATAATCTGCACATTGTTTCCTCTCCTTTACTTGCAGCTGGCTACCAGTTCTCAGGCAAACACAGGTCACGTTATCCTCACCTGACTTTATTCTCTGCTTTTCTCACACGCTTCCAGTAGCAATACATGTTATGATTGACGTGTTGGAAGTAGAACTATTCTAATATTGCTTATCAATGTTGTGAGAAACATGCAAGTCTAACTTAGAAGCACAAGATTATGAAATTTGTGTGCATGTTTGTCTCACATCTGGAAGAAAGGGAAGGTTTTGTTTTCTTGGGCAGAAGTTTAGACCCAGGGACACCTGCTTAAATGAGGGACTGAGTTTTCTCTTTGCTTCTCCGTCCTATTTCCTCTAACACTTTGTTCCAGAGCGTCTCTATCCTGGATCCAGCTTCTTTCCAAGCTTTATTGCCTCTCCTCTGCGTTCCTTGCAGTCTTGCCCTGCATCTATCTCTGTGCCTGCAGCTGCTCCCCTGCAAATCGATCCTTCGGATCTGGAGCCTGCTGTTAGCCTGTGTTAGCTTTGCTAAATGGCGGTATTTTAGAATTTAGATATAAAGAACATCTGGAAGTTGATTCATCTGTAACTGGTAGCAAATCTGTAATTGATTCCAGAGATATTGAGATTACACCCTTGAAGCTAAAAACTTTTATCATCAAAAGCATAATGAATTTTTAAATCCTGTTTCCTGCTTACATCTTGAACAAAGAATATTTTTGACTTCTTCTGGCTGAACCTATTTCTCATTTTGTTTGCAGCCTACTACTGTTCTTCTCAAGAGTTAAGTTTGTAGCAAAGTCTATTTTTGTTTGTTTGAAACTTCTAATTTTTATGCTTGGCTGAATTTCTTCATTAGTAGTTTGGGTAGATTAGAAGTCCAAACACTCACATCCAGTCCCATGGGCCATGGGGTTTGGAAAACTTCCACCTGTTCTAGTCTGCGTTGCCATGTAAAATGGAGATGTATTGCTATGTAGACAGGCATTATTTTAGATATTCAACAAAAACAAAAGTCCAGCAGTATCTACTTCATTCCTGTCACAGAAATATGAGAGGGTCATGGTGCGTAAATGTGTATATTTTAAATGTAACTTTTAAAAATTGCATATAGATGACCTCCCTCTGTGGACAAAGTTTTGCTTTCCCAGCAAATGTATTTCCCAGTTTATGTATTTCATAAACTGAAAGTACTAGAAATCTGTAGGGCTGATGAGCTGCATTACTAGAAGATGTTACAAAATCTAATCCACTTCCTGCCTTAATAATTAATTCAATCAGTGATCACTCTTCACTTGCATGTGGTTTAGGTTTTTATTTTTCTCTGGGTCAAGGAGATCAGAAAGTATCAAATGCAGTTCATAAATAACTCAGGAGAGCATTTGCTGCTGCTTCCTTCTAGGTCGCTGAAAATGTTTATTTTGCAAGAATCTGCCTATTTTATCCCAGTTCCACAGAGACCCTGTACTTGGTCCCAACACTGAAGGCCCTGACTCCAGCATTGGGCAGGTCCTCCTGGTCACGAGCAGCCTTGCTTGTTTTGATGGGTCTGACTTGACATTTTGGAATGATTTTAAAGGTTTTCATGGTTTGGGGCAAGAGGTTTCAGCAACCCAACAAGATTAAGCCTCTCTCCTGCCTGTGAATTTTAACAAAAGCTTTCTCCTCACTGAGGTAGTACACACATGCACTTCATTTGGTTAAAATGCATCTTAAATGGTGTCATGCAGCTCGAGGAAGTGATGGAACTGTTCTTTGTGAGTTAGGTCTAACTGCTACATTTTTTAAAACATGTTTTACACTGTTGGGTTTGCAGGTGCCACTTAAGTTAGAAATACTTCATTGGTGTGAGATCTGGAACAAATCTAGCACATCTGGGTAGCAGGAAGAACCTGACACCTAGCTGTCAGGTGAACTTTTTACAGTAATTTGAATTATGAATAAAATTGTCTGAATTCATCTGTAACTATGTAGATCTGTCACTTGGCAACTAATAAGAATCATATGAATCCTTGCTGGCAGAATCCTCATTTTATGTATATTCTTGCTTTATTTGACAAGTTTAGTTGCCTTTCATGTTAAATGCTTTTTCTTTGTAGGTGCAAAGAAGAATAAATTTGTCACTGTTATCTTGGAGGGGATTTCAGTTAGGTCTGAAGTAAAATTTACTTGCTTGAAAGATGAGTAACCAAGATGAAGATTGTTATGAGAACACAGTAAAATATCTAGTGTGATCCTGCATGTTTGTTATCTTTCTTTGTTTAAACTGACATGATGCGGGCAGATTGCTCTGGAGCACAAAGCAAAGATAAATAAAATTGTACTTCAGTAATGCCTAGAAGGAATAAGAATCCTGATTTTAAGTGATCTTTTTATATTTTGAATTCTACAATTTAAAGTACGAGCTCTGTCCTGCCTAGGGTATATGGTGACTATTTTTGAGAGAAAAAGGACTTGGTTTCTCTTTTTAAAGCCTTGGACTTAACAAAGAAAATATCAATGGCTTTTTGGGTAGTTCTGACCATTTCCATGCTTATGGCTGGTCAGAAAACACCCATCTGCAATAAAGGATAAATATAAAACATTAAGACTCTGGTTAATAAGAAAAAAAATGTTTAAAGGAAATGGTGCAAAATCCTGTTAGCTGGAAGTTACCATCAAGAAGGCAAGAAAATAACTGCAGTATCAGACTGGCTGCTTGTACGGGTGCTGGAAGTGCAAGATGGGGGTGGAGTGCAAGAAAGTGGGAGGCAGAAGAACAACTGTTAGAGATGCGGATTTCAGCCAGTGGCATTTATGCAGGAGAGGTTTTAATTCTGGGTTGTTGATGTGTCTCTCTTCTCTAGTTCTTAGGCAAGCGCAACTGGAATGCAGCGAAAGACTTGCAGAGATACAGACGTCGCTACCCGGTATGTGTGTGTTCTCAGGGCTCTTCTTCATCAAGTGCTAAGTTAAAGATAACTTCCTGGGTTTTAGAACATGGTTTTGTCTTTATTTTGACATGCTCAGAACTTCTAAGAATTTAACTTGTGGGGGATAAGGGGTGATGTTCTTGTGAGTGCATAACAAATAAGCTGTTGCCCAAAGCATGTCTTGATTCCTCAGCTGATGGTGGAAACATGAGAAAATTCAGGAAGTGTTTGAGTGGATACTGCATTTTAAGAGATTGCTACTCTTTGATTGTTTGTTCTCATCTCCAGGGTTTGGTAGAACCAGAAAGTGATGAGGAGGAAGAGATGTGGAACTTGAGCTTTTACAGAAATGAGGTTTCTTTTAGGCCCCATGGTGAGTACCTTGCTTAAGTTCAGTGCATCTGTACTGTGCCTCTTTCAATAGGTCAAAGAGTAACTGATCCATGATGGAAAACTATAAAAAGTGCAGAGGCGTTTCCCTTTTAAAAGGCAGAATTTGCCACTTCCTCCTTGTTTGTGCCAAATATTCCTTCATTTTTTTGTTTGCTGATAGAAATCTAGACTTCTTTTTTTTCTGACTCCTTAAAGCACCCGTCTAATTACATAAACTGATATGTACATGCTAACACCTGACTCTGGTCTGATTAACTTTAAATTTACTTTTCATTTATTTCTTTCTTTCTCTTTAGGTTTGCCTATTGAACGTCTTCTTGAGTCTTGGTGGGACAACTATGAAATTCTTGAAGAAAATCATTCTTACATACAGTGGTAAACCCCTGCATAATATGGTTCTTCTCTTCACAACTGATAGCATATATGTTCCTGAATTCAGCTTCCCTAGAGGTCCAGAGTCACCCCTGAGTCAGACTTGAGCTCACTTTACTTTTGTGAGTTATGTTCTTGTGGAAGCAACGAGCTGGATATCCTGAAGGCTCAGGTTTCTGTTGCAGCTATGGTGACAGATCTGTCATGCCTGGTCTTCCAGTGTGCTGCAGAACAAGACACAGTGGCAACGAGAGAGGTCCCAATAAGCCAAGTCTGCTGATAGCACCTTTGTTTAGATTTATTTCATCTTATTTATTTTGATGGGAGGAACTTACTTGCCATATGGTAAACTTCTGTGTCTGTAAGGATGTGAACTTTTCTAGAGAGGCCTTTTATAGCAGTTATTGAAATCCTTGTTAATTTTACTGGAATAGACAACCTGGATTGGATGTTGTTTTTTCATCTTCTGGACAGAAAATTTCTTTCTCTTCAGGTTATTCCCTTTACGTGAACATGGGATGAACTGGCATGCCAGACCACTCACACGTCAAGAAATAGAGGTATTTATTTTAACCTGCAGGTCATTAGGATTTTCCCTAGGTGCCTTTACTTTTTTTTTTTTTTCCTCCAATCCCTCCTGTGAACAGATCTCACACAAGTGCTTTTAAGTGTGACATTTGACTGTCTTGAGTGTGCCAGTAGCTACAGCAACAAATCATGTACTTACTGATAGAACCAACTCTTGTTCATTATTCAGAGGTCATTTAAAAAAAAAAAAAGAAGTTACAGCTAGTTGCTACATTTATTCCCTGGTGTCTCTTGCCTTTTAGGCCTTTAAGAAGTCCAGTGATGTTATGCAAAGGTTTGAACGTGCTTATCAGCTCATGTTGAGTTTTTATGGAATCACTCTGACTAATCAGAAAACTGGAGAGCTTAAAAGAGCAGAGAATTGGGCTGAACGATTCCAAAACCTGAACCGGTGAGTCTCTGTATTACTGGGCACTTATCATAGCCAGACATGTTTTGCGAAGGGAAAAAAAAAATCATACAAAATTGAGAAAATTGTCAGCTCTTCAGAAATGGTTGCTTTTGTTGATAGAAAAGTCAGCTAGCAAAATTATTCTTATCTTACCTCTGTCTCAGAGGCAATTTTTACAGGTAGCCAAATTGCCTTTGTGGTGATCCTCTTAAGCTGTAATATAGGAGTGTTTTTACATATGCTTCATGCTTCCCTGATTGTTTATAAAGCTATCTTGAGGCCAGTGAAATGCTTTGAGTCTTTCTTTGCAAAGTGCTCTGTAATTTGTCGATGTTGTGTTTTTGTAGGTACACAGTGATAGTATTGACCCTTAATAGTCCATACTTCCATATTAAAAGGGACCCTAAAAGGACTGCACATACAGAAGAAAAATCAATTTGAGGACTGTCAAATAGAAAAACTCCGTGTCTAGCCTAGGTCCCTAAGTAGTTAAGCTCTGGAAGCATCAAGGGAAGCATCCTCACATGCCTGTGTTTTTATACTCTTCTACAGGCTTACCCTGCAGGCCACCATCAGGGACAGGATATTGGGCTGCGTGGACTTATGTGTCTGACCCAATATGGTGGCTGTTATCTTCTGATGGATGATGCAGAAAGCCAGAACCTTTCCAAGCAGTTGAGATGTTTAATGCAAGCAGACCAAGGAGGGCTAGGAAGGTACTTCTGAAAGTAGACAGCTGCAGTAGGTGCTTTAAAAGTAAGCCAGTCTATACTCCCATTCCCATCTGCAAACATTCTTTAATAGATGATGATTAACAATATACAAAATACTTTGTAACCCTGAGGTTCAGTGTGACTGCAGACAGGTAAGACTACCCCTTAACAACTTTGCCTGTTTCCCTCAGGTTTAGCCACAACAATTTGCGCATTACTCGCATCCTGAAGTGCCTGGGGGAGATGGGATACGAAGACTATCAAGTGCAGTTGGTGAAGTTTTTCTTAACAGAAACTCTTGTTAAGGAGACGCTACCAAATGTCAAGAGAAGTGCCTTGGATTACTTTCTGTTCACTGTCAGAAGCAAACGGAAGAGAAGAGAACTTGTCTACTATGCCTGGCAACACTTCAAGCCTCAGAGCAGCTTTGTATGGGCGCCGCGAGACAAACTGCTGAAGTACAGGCCCCGCTCAGCCAAGGCACAGCCATGCCAAAAGGATGAAAGTAAACGGGAAATTCCTGGTACAAAAAGCGATGGGTCTGTGGAAAAGGATCAGAAGGATCGGTTGCTAGAGGAGGAGCAGAAGGTTGGAGATGATGAAGATGGTCTAAATGTAAGTTCAGACTTACAGCCTGAAGAAGTGAATCAGGAAGACCTAAAAGAGAAGTTAAATGAACGTGTTTTGGAGGGAGGGGATGGTGAAGAAGAGAAAGACCCTCTATTTGCACAACATGAGGAGAAGGATTTGAACAATGAGGCTGAAGAAGTGCAGAGTGCTGCAGAGAGTGATAGCACCAAGGAGAGCAAGAAGAGAAAACTGGATGCAAGTAAGGCAGACAATAAACACAGTGAGCAGGAGAAAAGCCCTCCTGATATTGAAAAAATTTCCCGTAATCTAGGAGAATGTGCAATTGATGCAGAAATCCCCTCCTCCATTCCAGTCCTGCAGACAGAAGAGAACCAGAAAATACTTAAAAAAGAAACAGTGAGCACTGGAGGCGCAACAGCACTGGAGGTAGCTGATGCAGCTGTAAAGCGGAGGAAAGTTGATAAAGGGGCACAGAAAGGCAAAACATGCACCTTGGCCATTAACCTGAACGTGAGGCCCCCTCCTCCTAGTGCCCCCTCAAATACACCCGTTGCAAACACTGAGACAGAGGAGGGAAAGATCAGTGAAAAAAAGGCAGAGAGAGTGGAAGAGAGCACTGAGAACTCTGGTGGTGATGGAAAAGGAGGGGTTGTGGAGTCCACAGCTGAGCACAAGGTTTCCAAGATGGACTGCATTTCTCCGGGAAGCGATGACCTGGAGTCAGATGGAGATCAAGTCAGAGCCGAGAGCAACCAGCCCCACTGCAACAGTGTCCTCCCGGGATGCCAGAGTGAGGCAGACAGGGTAGAACAGCATGAAAAGGTGGAAGAAAATGTGAACAAAAACACGCAAGCAAAAGCCACAGACAAGAACCAAGATCAAGAGAGACTTGAGCAAAGCGTGGCAACCATTTGTCCTGAGCAAGACAGTGCTGAGGTTGTAGTACAAAAAGGAGATAACTCTCAGCAAGTAGCAGGACCTGATGAAGAGCAGGTAGGGACAGAGTGAGCCAAGTGTGACAGCAGCACTGGAGGAGGCAGAGAAGAGCCTGCTTTAACTGCTGTAACCAGCTTTGGTGATACAGATAGCAGAGGTATAGGGGAAAACAGATTTCCTTTGACTCGTCCTGGTTAAATGCAGTCTGACCTTCACCTTTCACCCTTTTTCTTTAATCATTTGTAGTGACTTTGAAAACTAGCCCTTGCTTATCCTAAAAAGGTAAAGTCTAATTTAATCATCTTCATGGATGGGCTGTGTCCTATTGTTGTTTTTTATCCAATATTCATGACTATTTGGGATAAACAGTGATTTTTGCACTTTGCTTTGTTTCTGGTATGTCTGTTTTTAAAGAGAAGAGGAAAATAAATCTGTTTTCTTGTTTGATCTAATCATGTAAATCGATGTACAATAGTTTTAGTGCAGGACAGACAGCATGAGCTGCTTTGCTTTCTCTCTATTACTGTATAAGTTCTGTCTGTTACTTTGGAAATCTGTACCTTCACTGAAGGCTTCTTTACTCCTGTCAAAGGTGCTGTGTGTCTGCTGCTTAGGGCAGAAATTGTAATTTTTGTGGCATTTGCCTAAAAGAAATGAGTACATGCACTTTGCATGCATGTAAGAGTGTAGTTGCCCTTCTCTTCCTGTAAGAAAATAGAGTTGATCTTAGCGCATCATAAAGAGGTACCTTTAGACTATCTGACCAGTATTAACATCTGTGTATAGATATTGTTCCCTGTTTTGCAAAGTGTTGAATAATTTATTCCCTTTTTCCTCATCAGAAGTTGCCGGAAGCACTTAGCAAGAGGGGCTGAGTGCATGGCTTGTCTACCTGTTTTGAAAAGTAAAACCTTCAGACTTTACTTGGAGCTCTCTGGAGCTTTTCTTTCCCAGGGTTTATCACCACTTCCAGGCCTTTGAGAGTCTTCCACACACATTTATGCCCACTGCTGGTTCAAAGGCCGTTCTCAATTGCCAAAATATTGTTTATATTTACATCTTTTCAGAACTTGCAGTTAAGTAGCTTTGCTTATGTTTTCTGCAGACTCATTGCAGGAAGTTGGATGTGGCAAATTTAAACAACTTTCCAGTTATGGCAGATGTTTTAATGATCAGGATGTCAGACAGCCAGGGTATGTTCTACTGCGATGTGTCTGGAAATCACTGGGGCTTTGTTGTGGAGCTGTTAATTGAGACTATTTAATTGGAGGGAGTAGCTTGTCTGGTTCATTTATTTACGGTCCTAGATAATTTAATCTGAGACCTTGCCAACTATTTGCCTGCCTTACTGACCTCCCCTGTTAGCCATTCTGCCTGACTTATGCTCCTTCAGAGTTGGCTGAATGTTGTATTAAACAATTTCGCACTTTTGCTCTTGGAGATTTACAAGAAGGGATCTGTTTCGTGAAGTAAAGGAAACCATTCTTGCAGCCAGGAGGGCTGGGCTTGATGTTTGCTCAGACTGTGTGTTTTAGCCTTGGGGGTTTTAGGTGCTGTTCGCTTTGTGTAGGAGAGGGTGGGTGGCTTCCCCCTTGCCAGAAAGCTGATGCAGTAGCCCGTGAAATGTTCATATTTCTCTTCTTTCTGCTTCTGAAGAAGCTTCATCTCTCAAGGAATTTGATCTGTGATTTACCTTCCCAGTCTGTATGCCCTGATGGAAAATGCCACAAACGTGTGTGGAGGAATAAAAGCCTTCAAGGTTAAGGAGATCATTTAATGCTCATAGTCACACTCAGGCTGGAAAAAGGCTTAAATATTTTTTTTAAAAAAACATTTTATGGAAAAATGGTGTTTAATATAAATACAATTAACTGCAGCTATAAGTACTTTAACATGCTGAGTGAAAAATCTTTCATAAAAGATTCATAAGAAATTGTTAATGATAGTTTTTGTACAGATTTACAGGCTTTTTTATTTAATGAAGCTTCCATTGTGAATGGAATGGATTATGAATCTTGTATGGTCGTGTGCAGCTTGTTTATTCACTTTAATGAGATTTCCGTGAGGACCTTAGTCTGCGGTCGCAGGCTGTTCCCTGCCATGATCAGGTGCAGAATTTTGGTTGTAGATGCTTGCGGTGGGCTCACAGGATGTGTTTTCCATCACTTGGAGCTGTATGATGGAGTCTGTGTTAATGTTGCCTATTAAAGCATGATTTCAATGCATACTAGTTTCCACTTTTTTCATCTTGGAAAGCACCGTGTATCAGTCCCAGCACTGCGTGCTGCAGCCGTCTCCTATTGCTTGGGCATGCCCAAAGAGCTAGCTGGGCCCATCCAACATTCCCAAGCACGGCAGGTAAAGCGGAGCTCAGGCTGGGCTCACCTTGTGGCAAACCAGTCCTCCAAGCCCTGACTTTCTGTGAGCGACGTGCAGAGATTAAAGCTGCTGGAGCCTCCAGCTGCGTGTGCTCATCACTGTGACTGCGGTGTCATCACTTAAGTAAACTCCTTACGCTGAAAATATCATCCCTCCCTCATCTCGCCCAATAAGTGCATGTTGCTACTGTGCTGGCAGGCTGCAGCTCCTGGCTGACTTCCCAGTGAGCTGCTTTGCAGATATTAAAGCAGTTTATTGTGCCTTTGTTTTATTTCTTTCCTGAAGTGGGAGAATAAGTGCTGTTCTGCTCTTCCCATCACTTGTGCCATGAGCTGCCTCTTCCAGCTCTCTGGAACGGCGGCAGCGGTACCATAGGGAAGCAGCCCTCCCACAGCAGTGGAACCGAGGAACTTGGCTTGACTTGGCTTTTTCTCTTGCCATCATTTGATCTTGGGGTTGAAGCTGGAGGTACAAGCTCTGTGTGAAGTGATTCCTGCAGCTTCACCGCTCTGCTTGCCCTGTGGGGTCAAGGGAATAAAGATTCACTCTACCTGGAAGCCCTTTGAACATGTGAAGACACACACACACACACTTTCTTCTGGAATCCGAGTATCTCAGAGTCCTCCCTCCCTCTGTCAGTGTTGGAATATTGGCTGCTGGGGAGCTGGGCAGGCTGTTTGCTCATGTAAATCTCCCTTAAGGCTGCCGAGCTGAAACTTAGTATTTCACTTTGAGCTTTGCTTTTCCGTTTCTGCCCTGCCATTTCTCCCGCTGAATCCTTGCTCTGTCTGTGCTTCCAGTCTGCTGCTGAACAAGCCTCTTGTCAAAGTGCGATTCCCTCCTGTGATCCAAATAACTTCCTGCTGCTTGAAAGCTTTTATTAAAAAAAAAAAAAAAAAGTTGTTTCATTCAAATAAGCTGCGTTATCACTGTCGTGGTGCCTCTTTCCACTGCCTCTCCCCTTCCAAGCCCTGCTTTTGATGAAATAACTTAGTTGATAGGGAAGCATGAAGCTATTTCTGCTCCTTCATTACCGTTTTGCTCTTTGGCATCACCTCCCTGAGAGCTGTGTCATCATGTTCTTTTCTTGCAGATACTTCTCAGGAAGATCTTCTTAGCTTTTGTGGCTCTGTGAGTGTTTCTTCAGCTTCCTCCTCATCCCTGTCTGTGCTTACCTTCTCTGGTCGGGATTCCTCACTTTCTCCAGAAATCAGTCTAGTATTCTGTGAATATTCCTGAAAACAAACAGAAAAAAAATAGAGGTGAAGACACAGGAGGAGATAATAAACCATCTCATAAAGCAGTGAGCACATTTCTCTGGAGTTTTTTACATCTCTATTCGTTTCTTTGTTGAAATCAGATCCTTGGGTGCAGAGCAGCTCTCCGTTTGCGTTGCCCTTTACCTCCCCAGCACTAAGGTGGTGATGGGCTCTGAAAAATGGCCCAAGTGTGACCTAAGGAACATCTTTACTCCCAGGTAGAGCAGCTAAATTTTAAATTTTACTCCTGTGCTGTGTGCTACAGCCTCCAATAGCTCCAAAGAGGTGATTCCAGCCCATCCTTCTGCTCCCTGTTTTCCTGAGGCTGGACTATGAATGAGAGCCTTGGTGCCCGCCTGCGGTTGGGCCCCCTCCTTCTCCCACCTCCTCCTCCTCGCTCGCTCTGCTCTGAGCTCGGCCCCTCCATCTGGAGCCGCAGGTTTATCTGGAGGCCGGGAGGCTCATTTGTAAGCTGAGATCCCGCAGGAGAAGGAGGGATCTGCTGGACCCTGGATGAGAGAGCGGGCTTGGCTGCCCTGGAGAGCTGCACCGCGGCACAGCCCGGGCACCATGGCCGGATCCACCGCTCTTGGGCTTCTCTTCCTTTGGCAGCTCCTGTCCACGGCGGCAGCACAGGTAGGGATCTGCATTTACACCTTATGCTCCAAAAACAGCTCTGTAAGGGAAAACCCCATTGCAGTCTGTGAATCTTGTGCCTGCAGGATGCATGTGGCAATAAGTGGATTATTGAAGTTATTTGTATTTATAACGTGCATGCTGCTGTGCTGTTACACACAAAGTGCTTAGCAAATAGGTTTGTGTTGTACCCCTAGGTAGGCTGTTGTGTAGAACAAACCACTTTCTCTCAAAGAATTGTCTTCCCATTCAGGACAGCAGCTTTGGGAGAAAAGCCTTTGGGAAAGGAGAGCTGTTGATAGAAGAGAAAGTTTTCTTTTTCAATGAAGCAATGAGCTGCCAATGAGAGTAGGATCTCCTACAATCTGATTCTTCACCTGAATCAGATAATTTCTTCTTCCCGCCCTCAATTTGCCAATTTTTATATTTTACGCTTGTGAAATAATAGCATGTTTAATTTTGGTTCACTTAAAGCATGTGAAGCTGTATCAAACTTCCCTGCGTGGCATTACTATATAGCCTGGGGAAGTAACTCCTGAGGTTTTTCACCAAGTTGAAGAGGAATTTTTGCCGTCTGGCCGGGGAATTCAGAGCTGCCCTCGTCGCTGCTTCCACAATGAGACCTTTGTTCACTGAAGCTACGGCAAGCTGCTCTCTGGAGCCCTCTCCATAGAGAAGTCATTTATTGGACTTTTTCCCCCCCCCACCTCAGGCTTCCTCCAAAATCCCAGGTTTTCTTTCAGCATCCTGCTCAGGGAGACTGTCCTTTTCTCCTTCGCTGAGCTTTTCTGATGTCTT